AATCCCACCCGGACGCTGAAGCGAGGAGTTCGGCTCTCCCCTGTGTACAGCGCTGGGTGGCGCGGTGAGCCCGGGGTGAATCCTGATCCGAAATCCTTCCGTTTGGCATCTGTGGTTTCGTGCAGGCCGTTTGTGTCTCAAGGGTCTGTGCGGTCTTATTAGAGCCATAAAAGTTGGGTCTCATAAAACGTGTTGTCCCTCTAAAGCCCTGGCCTTGCTCCTGCCTTGGGACTGCTTTGACATCCCCTGTGTGTGCAGCACCCACGGGCTGTGGCAGTGTCCAGGCCCCTTAGGAATTTACTGGGAATGTACTGACAGCCTGGCTCTCTGAGCAGACTGATTCAACAAGCGGCTTTTGGGGCTGGGTCGGGGGTAACCTGATTTGAGTCGTATTACATGGTGCCAAGCAGGGCTGGCCCCATGTAACAGGACTGGCCACAACCACTGCTTGCATTGTCAGGAGTTTATGTTTGATTGTACTGGCCGACAATCAAGGGAGTTCATTAAATGTGAAAATGCCGTCACATGCTAATGTATGCATTTACTCCGTTTTAAATAAAAATACTTTTGAAAGCATAAACATTCATTTTTAAGAAACTATGATGTGATGTTTTGAATATTTTGAGCATAAAATCCTCCAACTATTTGCTATAGATGTGACGGCTGAGGCAGTAGGTGTAGCTATTGCTGCACCTCCGTCAGAAGGGGAGGCAAATGCAGAGCTGTGTCGCTACCTCGCTAAGGTGCTTGAAGTGAAGAAGAGTGACGTTGTTTTAGAGAAGGTACTTCCTTTTTTTCCTTTCAGCTTTGCCATACTGCAGTTGAAATTTCAAGATTTTGAAATTTACACATTGACTACAGGGAGCTATTCCAAGTTCAGCCTGAAAAACACTTTAAGAAGTTTAGTTGAGTTAATGGAATGATACACTGAGAACAAACTTAGTGTAGGTAGAACTATGGCTGATCTTGACATCTTTTAACCAGAGGGGTTATCATGATAATGTTTTGCAAATCTCTGTAGTTCGTGTTTTCTGTGTTCTTCAAGATTCTCTTGTTTTCATGTCAAATGAGTTCACAGAATTTGTGTTCTGCAGAGAATGTGCATTTTATTAAATTTTCACTTTTTTTAAAATTACTTGTGTATTTGATTCTGACATTTAACTGTCACACAAACAAGAGCATATGTAAGCACTTGGGTTGTAGCTAGGCCTCAAGAGTTTCTCTGTATTAGAATTTATATGTCTTGACTTTGATGAGTGGAAACTCTTTGTTTTATTCATTTCACTGAATAAATAATTTGTTTTATTAATTCATTGTACTTGAAGTCAGTCTTTCCAGCCATTTTCATTTATAGTTTATAAACACAAGAGCACAATGAAAAATGGTGCTTTTTATTTTTGTCTGTTGGTTTAATGGAGTAGTTATAGAAGTCTTTCAAAGACTAATAGTAAAGGATAAGATGACCAAGGAAATGTTGTGAAAAGGTAGAGACAAAAAGATGTGAGTCTTGCTTTTTCTGAATCATGGGAAAACTGCTTCATTTGTTAATCAGCACTTTATGAATTGCACTGTTTTCTTACCCTAAAGGGTGATTCTCTGAAAGATGAGTTTTTTCTGTGTTTGCCTAAACCAGGGGGGTAAATCACGGGACAAAGTGCTGAAGATTTCGGTATCAGCGACACCAGATGAGATTTTAGAAAAACTGAAGAAAGAAGCTTCCAGCTGACCTAAAACAAGAGCAGGAAATAGGAAAAAGCATCCTGGTACATGGACTGATATTCTTTCTTACTTGATGCAGTGCTGTTGAGAGTGTGGGTAATGACTACAGGAAGATACTTCTTTCCCCTCCCCTTGTTAATATAGGTGCTGTACAGTTGAAGGTTTTCTGTAGGTTTGGTTGGAAAACTGAGACTGTACCTGCTCCTGTCACTACAGAATTCCTTCTGCCCTGGATGGTTTCCTATGGGTAAGATTTGTCCTCTTTCCTATTCCCTAAACAAATGGTTTAGGAAATCTTTTTAGTGGAGCAAATGTTGGTTAACACAACAAGGGGCTTGGAGTGACAGCCTTCCATGTGGGAAATGGTACAAAAGGACAAACCTGGATGGCAGAGACATAAAAGAGACTCTTCTCTCTGGTATCTCACAGCAGGTGCAGCTTTTCCCTGTGGGCACTTACAGATATCTAAAATAAATGTCTTTTGAAGCCAGTGTGCTGTTGTTGATCACACAGACAAACTGCAAGTAGAATCTCCTGAGCAGCTGAAAGAAAACCAGAAGATTTCAGTGTGAAAAACCAGCACAGGACTCAGTCATTGCACACAAGAGGTCCCATTGTAACAGTCTGTAAATAGTTTCCTTAAAAGTAGAGATTTGGTCATACATATCTTTGCCAATTGTATGTCACCTGTAATGACTGTTTTTAATAAAAGGGGCAAAAAGTATTATCAAGCTTTGGTTTGTGTTTATATTTTTAACAAAAAAGAGTTGTTTCCTAGAAACGTCTTCATAGAATGCTACTTTGAAACTGCCTTTTTTTATAATCTTTCCTTGGTCTAAAAATGAGTAGTAGTGCAACCCCTAGAGAACAGAGCTGAGTCATTTGTAGAACAAAACAAAACAAGAAGTCTGAAACAAAATTGGCAGTTATACTCCAATTTCAGGGCTGATGAGAAAATGGCTGAACTTCTCTATTTATCATGCTTCAGAGGTCAGAGGAAGATTTACCTGACATTTTCCAAAGATGTGTGATACCACACATGGTTCTGGTAGGTCTTTTTTTTTCCTCTGCATCACTGCTGATGTTTGAAATTGTCCTGTATTTTTCCTATGGTTGTCATGTTAAAAAGAAAGTAATGGCTAAAGTAAAAAAGATGAACTATTCTGAAGGTTTGCTTAAAGTTTATCATACATTCTCCTGGAAAACAATGTTATGAATGCATAAGCATTCATGCTGATGCATTGCCAGATTGATGCAGTAAGGCTTCATAGCTCATAATTCAGCTTTTTCATGGACAAAAGTCTTTCACTTTATAGGGAACTCTTTCAATATCCTGTTATTCTAAATATTACAACAGTTGCTTTTGGAGTTAGAGAACTGGTGTTTTTCAGGATGGCAGTTCTTTCAAGGTGACTGATTTTAAAGATGTTACGAAAAATGTTACTTTCTGGAGAAATAAGTCTAAATTCTGAATTGTTTGTTTAATGGTTCACACCTGAGTCCCTTATTTTCTCAGGCATTTGGGCAGCCATACATTGCCTCAGTCCTCTTTCCTTACATATCTTTTCAGTCTGTGCAGGCTGATTTTATTTTACTATTCCATCAGTTTTGGTTCACCCCTCCCTGCTGCTAGATCTGCTCTTGCCCAGCAGAGGGGTGCCGTGTCTTGCAGAAAAATTAAGGCCAAGCTAACCAAGATGAAATGTTAGTGGTTTGTTGGTGGGGGTTTTTCCTTTTATTTCCTGAACTTTTCTATTTATGATAAGTAGAAAATGGCAATAAAAAGACTGAGGAATTCTGTATTTATAAATTACATTTGGAATTGGCTGCTGCAACAGCCATTGTAAATTTTTTTTAAAGCTTATATAGTCTTTTGAAATAATGTATTTCATTACACTTCCCTGTGACTTCAGACAGACTGACGGAGCAGCTGTGTGGACAGATACAGTCTGAAGTACATTGATCTTCAGTGATGATTACCTGAAATAGCCAATTTAGTGTTTCAATGCCCTCTCTGTCTTGTCAGCATGATCTGCCTGGGGTTTTGCTGGGTTCTACTTGGCTTTTTCACCTTTCCTAAACACCTTCAGCTGCCATTCAGCATCTGTTCTTCTTGATCAATGAAAGTAACTTGAATTCCTGACTATGTGGTGAATAAAGCCTTTACATGCTGAGAATGTGCAATTTATGTAATATGAGTAACCAAAATTATTTTGGAATGGTTGTATAAGTAACACTGGGGTGTTGCCATATAGAATCATATCTGACAGTCTCTTATGTCAGTGGTTTTTGTGCTGTACATCCCTGTATCAGTTGTATCCCTGATACCTTGGCTGTGGTTTTAGGAAGCCTGGGAGGGTGGAACTGCTGCTCCATTGCTGTAGATCCCCAGTTTGTGGTGATGGGAGTGGGGCTGGCCCAGCCTCATCCCCAGTGGGCACAGCTGTGAGCAGCTGTGGAGCCAGGGAGTGCCCAGGAGCACTGACCAACCACAGGAACAGAGGGCACACAGGTGCAGGGCATCAGCATGAGGGGGATGAAAGGTTGGGCTGAAGAACAAGAGCAGACACTTGAAGCCTTCTGAAGTTGCAGGATGTTACTGTGCCTGGGC